TCGATTTGTAGCGTAAAATTTCTTGCTTACAAACATGCATACATATTTTCATATTGACATGAGAACATATGTATGTAAACCAGAGAATATACAGCTCTCAGAATCTCCCCATAAACATACCTATGTATATGTAAGTGCCATAGCAGTATGTCTCAGAACTACTCAAAATCAAGCGAACGCGTGCTACCTGACGCCTCTGGAATCACATACATATATAAATGTGTGAAAAATCATCAAACAGTCTTCAAAATGTTGGCTGGGGTAAATACATTCTGGCTGAAGAGTCGAGTATGGTCAGCATATGCATGTAAATACATATACATATGTATGTATTTATGGTATCTTGACTTCCATGCAAATTGATTTAATGACAACTGCCAGCTGTTCAACGGATATTTCACTAAATGAGAGTGCTGAGTGTATTTATCTTGCTGCTTTTAGGGCTTCACATACATACATACATATTTACATACAAATATATACAGATTATTATACTACTTTTCAAAAGGTTTGTAGGAAATGGAATACATGGGTAATAGTGCTACAGTAGTTGTTGTTGTTGTAACGGTTACCTAGTCACCGTTTGGGTGATAAATTCCAGATTCGTTGTCGTCGAGGTCATCTAACGAGAGGCACAGGAAACGAGCTGCTTCGACGGGGTCGGACCATAAGGAGAAGGGTGTTAGATGTGTGGGGTTTGTTGGGCATGCAAAGAGGTGGTTAGTGTCATGCGGAGACTCATTGCACGCAGGACATGTGTTTGGTATGTTTTCTTCTAGTGCTACAGTAGTAAGAAGAACTGGTCTATATTGAGTGACATACATTAACTACACAATGGTCATATTAACGATGAGAAGATAAGTAAAATATGGGAAAATATAATTTTTACTCATTGCCGCAGAATTTTGGAACTCTCTGGCGTGCAGACCAATCAATTTGGAATTTTTTAATAGAAGTTACAACAATCAAACCTTACATAAAGTATTCTCTACAGGGTAGGTGTACAATGGGTAGTATTTTTCACGAAAATCAGAATATCTAATTGTATTAGCCTCAGGAATAAGTATACACTTACACTTAATATGTACCCAAGTACTTATGTTATATATATATATACATATATACAAGTATATATATACATATATGTATAGGTGTATGTGGATGGGAAAAACACAATCGAGCACTTATACATTACCATAACTACATAGATACACTTATATTTATAAGAATATATTATATATTCATTCATCATATACATACATATATGTTCAACTTAAGATCTTGAAACTTTAGTGGATTTATCATCATTATATTCTGTTTTCATGGCTTTTGGGTCATTGCTTTATATAAAAATAAATTATTAAAAATATCGTTTTTATTTTTGACTGTCTTCCAACCTTTGTTTAGCGGATTTTAAATTGAAATTTTTATTTAAAGAGTTTTGTTTACTTTAGAAACGTGTAGTTCATGAAAAAATATATTAAAAAAAATAATGGCGGACTTGATTTATGCGCAAATGAAGATTCTTAGGTAATTGATTCAATTATTTTTCTGATTACTTGTGTTGGTAGTTATATAAATAGTATAATTTTGGGGATTTAATTGCTAGTAGTCAACATTATGATATCTGTAATATCCAGAATATCAAAGCTTGATATCTAAGTTACTTGAAGTGCCCAAAATATATAACTAATCATCTATGAACTACAATATTATGCTATTAAAAAACAAAGCCTTTCTCCTTCGGAAAAATTCCTCAGCATGGCTGCCTCAGTAGAAGTTCTGACTCAGAAGTTCGACAATGACTTTCTTAACTAAGAGGATTCTTGAGAGGTTCAAAGAAGTGTTCGACAACATGTTTTTATATGCGATAGTACGAATCAATGGCAACCGGCGAATTCTAGTAACAAATGAAGTATTTTTGATGATATCCGGTGAGAAAAACTTCTCCGAAAACGCTGAACCGATCAGGTTGAAATTTTTTCACGACATTCTTAGATATATATACATATGT